ACACACATCCCCCGTCCCGGTCCGCCCGTCGGCCGGGGCTCGGGGTCCAGACAACGGCCTTCTGCGAGTCAGCAGCTCGGAGGATCGTCCGTGGTGAGCAGCGGAGCTCGGAGCCGGGGTGGAGAGGACCGGCGGAGCTCCATCCAGCTCGCTCTGGATTTTGTCGTCGGCCACCAAGCACAAAAAACGGCTGCACTTCATGGTTAGAGCACGGTGTTACCATTTTTAACCGTTTGAAACAGGTCCAGCCGCTCCTCCAGTTGAGTTCTTGAAAGTGGAGGATTGAGTGTTGTGAAAGTTTCTCAAACCCCTAGTGACTCCGCCCCTTCACCAATCAGTGACCGACTGTGTTCTGAAGTCATGTTTCGGTGCCAGTTTGGCCCGGCTAGAACCTGAGAGAAAAAGGGACCGATTTGAAATATAATTTTATCAGATAATATATTAACTTAATGAAATGTCTAGATATATGTTTTCTGTTTTGATATTTAGAATGATATTGTGTTAAAAACATGATCTGATTCAGTTTCTGGTAGAAAATGTAGTTTTAGTTGCATGCCTACAACTCCCAACATTCACGCACCCATTATAGAACACAAGATGGATAGATATTATTGGTTGAGAGCTGGGTCACATGATAAGAGTAGGGCTTCCCATTCGTTGATGGTGATGATGACTCAAGGAGGCGTGGCCGAGCTCTGAAGAAGATTTACGCTGGGGGCCATCCGTGACCTCGTGGTGGACCAGGGCTGTGGTCTTGTACTTTACATGTAAACTAAACCTTCTGAAATGGAAGACGGTTGCTCCTCCTCTCCCTGCTCCAGATCAGAACTCTTTCAGATTCCACCAAGTGGAAAAACCTCGGAACCGTGCCGAGTGGAGTCGAACCGTGCTGTACTGGTACTAATGGAAAGTACAGCGTTTCTTGTAAACCTCCGTTTTTGTTTGTTGCTCCCAGTAAACGGAAAAGTTTCAGAGGTTGTTCTCGGTCCGTACAGCAGGTAGATCACTTGGACCTGGTCCTTTAAGAAGAGCTCCCTGATCTAAACAATCAATGAACGTTTAGACGGAGTTGGACCTTTTGATAAATGGTTTGTATTTCGGTTGAGAAGTAACTGAATGTGACCAGATCAAGTCCTTTCTTCTCACTGCAAGGCAGGACAGGACCAGACAGAACCACGCCCGGGTCTGGGCTCCTTACCGGGTCCACTCGTCTCCTGGGTTCTGCTGGTGGGTCGGACCAGGACACCACGAGGAGAGGACAGGCCAGGAGCTGAAGGTGTGTGGAACATCAGCACGTCCAGCCGGCCCCCGAGGACAGACCGGTTCTGAGTTCTGCAGCTCAGGAGAGCCGGATGAAAATGTTTCAACGGTTCTTCAGCCAGTCAAACTTTATTTCTACAAGGTGGTCCCACTGAGCCTCAGAGACCCATTTACAAGAGAGACCTGATGAGTGACAACAGTAAAGGATGCGTACAAATGTAAATTATTTATTTTTAACAAGTGAAAATAAAATGGTAATTAAAAGTAAAAACATCTCGACTATAAGGCGTGTAGAAAACTAAAAACAGGAACGTCTGTTTTTGCAGGAACTGAACAGAAGTTTAAAACGTTCATTTAACAAAAATCAATAAAAGCATGAAAATGTGACAAAGTTTAAATTCTGATTTTATCTTTGATTGTTCTAAAGATAAAAACTGAAAGTACTTGAAGGTTCTGGAAGAAGTCTTGGGTTCTGCTCCACTGGCTCAGGACGCTTCAGGAGGTCAGATGTTCTCGCTCGTCTACATCTGGCCTGGATGGAGAACAGAAGCTCTGCTCGTTGTTTGTTTGTTTATTTGTTTACAGCTTGTGTTGTTGGTCTCTTTGTTCTGCGACACCATGCAGATCTGAGGGCTCCTCCTCCTCACTGAGCTGCAGTCCTCGGACTGTCCACCAGGGGTCACCCACAAACTGCAGGTCCAGCTCTGGAGCGTTTTGGGTCCAGTTCAACAAGTTTTGCTTACCTGGACTGAAGGATTTAGAAAGACTCGGTCCAACTGGACCTCATGTCTCTCCATGAATGTTTGACAGGGTTCAGGTCAGGGTTCTGACCGGTCCACTCAATCAGCTGTCCCTGTTTGCCCTCGGGTCCGGAGCAGGAAGAGTAAGCCCCGCCCTCTTACACACCTCATTAAACTCAGGTGAACCAGACTGGTTCTGAACAGCTCTGGTTCTGGGCGGTTCTCTGCAGGTTCTGTAGTAGCTGAGCAGAGAACCTCTGCACGTTTCCTGGGAGGGGGCGATTTCCATGACGTAGTAGGAAGTGTCCATATAAGGGTGTGGGGCGGAGCCTGGGAATGCCCAGAGGCGGAGTCATAGAATAAAAGCTGATGCTGAAAGAGCAGTTCTGACTGAAACTCTGAAGCTGGCCCGGTTGGACCAGTACTTACCATGGTGCTGTTGCAGACCCTGTGGACCTTCATCCTGGGACACGCCCCCCTCCTGCACTCGCCCCTCTTCCCGGTCCTCTTCTCCTTGTCCCTGTACCTGTCCTTCTGTCTGCCCTTCCTGCTGCTGGACCTGCTGGCCCCCAGACTGGTTCTGGTGCGCCGGTTCAAGCTGCAGCCTCAGAGTTCTGTCAGCTGGTCGTCGGCCGGGAGCTGCCTGGTCCTGACCCTCTACAACCACCTGATCTTCATCCTCCCGCTCACGGTTCTGAACTGCTACCTGAGACCGGTCCAGCTGCCTGAACAGGCGCCCCCTCTGCCCCGCCTGCTGGCTCAGGTCCTGGTCTGCCTGTTGCTCTTCGACTTCCAGAGCTTCACCTGGCACCTGGTGCACCACAAGGTGCCGTGGCTCTACCGCACTGTCCACAAGGTGGGTCCAAAATCCTTCATCGGCTCATCTTCAGCTGATCTGCTGATCTTCAGCTCCCTGATGCTGATCTCCAGCTGACCTGCTCATCTTCTGCTGATCTTCAGCACCCTGATGTTGATCTTCAGCTGATCTTCAGCTCCTTGATGCTGACCTTCTGCTGAATTTCAGCTGAACTTCAGCTCATCTTCAGCTCGTTTTAGAACAGGTTCTAAGCTCTGCTTCCTCCTGCAGCTGCACCACACCTACTCCTCCACCTGGGCCCTGAGCACGGAGTACTCGGAGGTCTGGGAGACCCTGAGTCTGGGCCTGTTCGCTGCAGCCAGCCCGGTCCTGCTGGGCTGCCACCCCCTCACCCAGATGTCCTTCTTCGTCCTCAACATCTGGCTCTCGGTGGAGGCCCACTGCGGCTACGACCTGCCCTGGGCCACGCACCGCCTGGTGCCGCTGGGCCTGTACGGGGGCGCACGGCACCACGACCTGCACCACCTCCGGTCCAGGTACAACTTCGCCCCCTACTTCACCCACTGGGACCGGCTGTTCGGGACCCTGTGCACGCAGGCCTGAGCTGTGGGGCCCCTGAACGCACCGCCGATCACTCCTGTGGACCCTCGGCTGCAGGGGCTGATGGGAAATGGCCCGATGAGACATTCAGGGACGGATTTCTAGCAGTTCAAACTGGACTGTGCACCCCTCTTGTTAAAACACGCAGATTTAAAATGTCTGCTTCGTTTGAATGAGTGATTTCCAGATGTTTGGCTAACAGCTGTGTGCCTGAGGAGGTCCAGATGAGCGTGAGGACGGACTGGTTCTACGGGTTCTGGAGACCCGCTCAGATTCAGAGTCCTCCTGTTTTGAATCAAACACTTCCTGTGAGAGCAGGACCGTGATGATGATGAAGACATGATGAAGGTGGATGATGATGATGATGAAGACATGATGAAGGTGGATGATGATGATGATTATAATTACATATAAATTATTTTTTCACAAAATTGAACAAAACGATTTAATTTCTTCTCAGCACTGATTCATAACACGACTACACACTGTGTGTGTGTGCGTGTGTGTGTGCGTGGGCGTGTGTGTGCGCGTGTGTGTGTGTGCGTGTGTGTGTGTGCGCGTGTGTGTGTGTGCGTGCTGTTGTGGTCAGTCCATCAGTGACATGACCTCTAACAGCTTGTGGGATGAAACTTGCAGAACCTGGAGCTTCTTCTGAGACCAGTGTGTCCTAATGATCTTCTCCTTCGTTCTTCTCACCACCTCCAGTCTGCAACAGGGCAGCTTCCTTCCCAAACTGGGATACAGCTGGTCATGATGTTCTCCATGGTTCCTCTGTAGAATGATGTCCTCCATGGTTCCTCTGTAG